CTCTGCCAGTTTCCTCTCTGGTGGCAGAGCTGGTACTTTGTGAAGAGCGTGGGCTGGGACCTCGAGGAACCCGCACACTGGCTGGGTTTCCAGGGATCTGACGAACCTACTGGAACTGGTTCTTGGCAAGGCTCCCCCTCCGAGATGTGCCAGGAGGGCTGAGGAAGTTTAGGCGGCTGCTCCCAGCCCCACCCGGCTCTGCCAGAGAGACCCTGGCCTGGGGAGGGTGGGCAAGGCCCTGGCGGAAGGCGGCCCGGCCCTGTAGCCTGAGTGCAGGTGGCCCCCCGGGAGGAGGACAGCTGGGAAGGAGGCCCAGGAGGCTGAGCTGGGGTGAGCTTTTCCTGCGGTGCTCCAGAAAACCTCTCTCCCCATAGGGAGGTGAGGGGGGCAGCTTGCACCTGAAGCCTGCACAGTCTCCTGCAAGGCTCCCCACAGCCTTGCTGGGAATGTGGGCTCCGTGCCAGGCCTGGTGGTGCCTTGGGCAGGGCCTCAGGGCAGCCTCTTAGAGACCGTGCAATCATCCCGTTTTATAGATGGAGAAACTGAGGCCCAGGAAAGGAGGCCCCTCCTCTCCTCAGTAGCTCAGCTGGGATGTACACCCAGACCAGTGCACATGTAGGCTCAGAATCTTTGTCTTCGTGGCCTTCAGTCGTGATTGTCACCTGCCTGTGTCTCCACACCCGCCCCCCCCCCCCAGCCCAGCCCGGTCACCGGGCTCAGCACTTGGAGGGCCTCTGGGACAGTGTTGTCATATCCCAAAGCCTCTGGGCAGCACAGGAGGTCAGTGCTCACCACTGTGGCTGGTCGTCTTCAGCTCTGCTCCCTCGGGCCCTGCCTCCGACCTCTGTGGCCCCGGTCAGACCCCCACCCAGCTCTGGCCTGGGGCCTCTGCCCCCGTGCCCCGCTCCCGCCTGCCCGCCTGCCCATCTCCTCATCCTTACACCCCAGTGTCCATGGCACCTCCTCCCCTAGTCGCCCCGATTTGGAAGCGCCCCGAGCCCTGTGGACTTCCCTTCCCTGGCTCCCAGCCCTGTGTAGGAGGGCGGGGTGAGTGGTGAGGAAGGGTTCCCAGGGGCGGCCCTGGCTGTGCTGAGGTTGGGAGGGGGCTCTCAGAGCTGGGGGCCCGCGCTGAAGCGGCTGCCCTCTCTCTGGCCCAGGTCTGTACCCCAGAGGAAGGTGGGGCAGGGCCTGACCTGCCTGCCACGGTGCATTTCCTCCTGGGGCGTGGGGGGGTTGGGAGGCAGCAAGGGGCGTTCAGCTGAGTAGGCCCCGGTGGGATTTGCGTGTCCCCAGCCCTCGGGAGTGGACCGAGGCCGTCCACTCCCTAGAGCAGGGTGAGGCGCAAGTGTGAGGGGGGTACAAGGGTGGGTGGGCGGATGGAGAGACAGAAGGATGGCAGATGTCCCGGGGACAGGAGATGGGAGAGCAGGAAGGGCTAGAGCCTAGAGGAGGCGGGAGGGGATTAACCCAGCTTTGTGGATCCCTGGAGGGAGTTTTAGAATTCTCCTCAGTGTCTCTCTTCCCTGACTGTGGCCTTCAGTCACCTGTGAGCCCAGCGTGGGGAGCTGAGTGCAGGAACTCTGGATGGGTCACTGTCCTTCACTCGGTGCTCCCAGGTGCTCCCAGGCCAGCACTAGCTCGGGACTGCGGTGGGGGGGGTGGCTCCCAGTGAGGATGCGGGCAGAGGTGAGGGTTCACGCACTCACAGCTCACATGGGAGGGGACATCTGAGCTGTTCCCGAGGGCTAATAGGAGATTTGTGCAGACTGAAGAGGAAGGAGACCTCCAGGCAGAAGTCGGTGCACAGGCCGGGCAGCAGGAAAGCAGACGCATTTAGGGCGAGTAGTGGGTGGAGCTGACAAGAAAGGGACGTGTGCATGAGCGGGGAGGGAGGCAAGAGGCAGGCGCTGAGGGTGCAATGCCAGGCTAGCCCCCTCCCCTTTTGGGGACCCTCTGCTCATGGGCAATTCCCCCTGTATGTCCTCTGCCCGCTCGTTTGAGGCCCTGGCAAATGACTCAGGTCGTGAGAGGCATGGGTCCCCATTTCTGCCTCCTGTGAATCAAGACCCCTCTTCTCCTTCATCCTGACCGCAGTACCCCTGGGGGACGTCTGGGCCATGGAGGTCAAAGCAAGAGGGGTGAATTCCTGTCCGAGCCGCATGAGTGAAGTTTGGGCTGGGTGTGAGGCAGCAGGGCGCAGTGAGGACTGGGGAGGGGTGGCAGGTGATGGGCTGCCACGGACACAGGGGCCGCTGGACTCTGCCAGTGTTGCCGTTTGGGAACTCCGGCCTAGTACTTCCAGATCTGTGGATTTTTTTCAAGAGAAGCTGGAAATTCAGATTTTTATATGAAATCTCCTGATTTTGAATAACTCATATTAAAATGGTTCACACATCACACTAGCTGAACAGGAGCATTTGGCCCCACGTGGCCCACTATTGAGCAGAGGCCACTGTGCCCTGAATGAGGTGAGAGGGGACAGTGGCTCTGTGGCCCCGGGACCAGCAGAGAGGCCCGGGCGCTGTTAGGGGCGGGCCCTGGGGGCGCCTCAGACGGGCTTCTCAGGGCTGCCCCAGGCAGCCACCATGCCAGTCTCATGGCAGCCTCAGCCCCTGCTCTCGATGCTGTTGACTGGCCCGCCAGGCCCCACCCCTGTGGGCAGGGGCACTGGGCTCTCCTACGAGTCCCAGAAGGCAGACAGCTTTTCCTTTCGTGTCCTGTTATAGTCTCCGCTTCACCTCTGCCCACTGCCCACTGTCTGCACGAGCAGACCGGGGAAACGGGAAGCGGGACTGGTGGGTGGGTGGTAGCCAGGTATCCAGCACCGGCATGGGTGGAGAGCAGCAGTGTGGTCTAGAACATTCTCTAGGCCCGGAGCCAGCCTGCATGGGTTTGAACCTTGACCCTGCCACATGCTGAGTGAATTTGGGCATGCGTCTCCGTTTGTCCGTCTGAGAAAAGGGGATGGTGCTGATAGTGATGCTGGTAGAAGTAGTTCCTCAGTTATGGAGCTGCATGAGAATCGTGCCCTGGTGTCCGGGCAGTGCCTAGAGCAGCACCCCGCACCATGAGTGTTCCGTGTTGACTGTGTCAGCACCCACCCCTCAGGCATACGTGCACGGACGTGCACACACACGCCCACTTGCACGCATGCACGCACTGCTCCCTAAAGCCTTGACGGCATCACTGGATGCACTCCACATGCGCATGTTTTCTAGAAGGGACAAGTCTCACCCCCCCCCCGATTCTGTATGCTTTGTCCTTGGGTCAGGCAGGGGCAGAGGAACCTTTACTGAGTCCTGCTCTATGCCAGGCACTGCATCAGGGATGGCACTGCATCAGGGACTGCTGTAGCTTACGTCAAACTCGCCACTGTGCGGGGAGCTGAGTAGGTGCCCGGAGTCCTGCCACTGCTCCATGGCAAGGGAGAGCTCGAACTCTCCCCTGGCTCGCTCACCACCATCCCGGCCTCGGTAGCCACGTGCCTGCACACAGTGGAGCTCTGGCATCGTGCCTCTGGCACACCCCAAAAGCGCCCCTGCAGGGAAGGTCTCTGCATCGTGCATGCATATGGAAGATGTTGGGCATTTGAAAGTCCTTGTAGAGCTTAGGGCAGGGAGAAGTGTGTTTCTCCCGTTAGCGTCACTGTGTGTGTGTGTGTGTGTGTGTGTGTGTGTGTGTGTGTGTGTGTGTGTGTGTGTGTTGGGGAGGGTCAGCTGGTACACAGCCTCCTTTCGGTGCTATCAGGCCCAACGATCTCCCACCTGGAGCAGTGATCACTGCTGCCTGGCTTCCCAGACAGTATTTGTCTTTTTGTGGCTGGCGTATTTCATTGATACAATGTCCTTGAGATTCATCCACAGTGTAGAGTGTCTCAGTTTCCTTTTGATTTTAAGGCTGAATAACATTCCATTATATGTATGTACCACATTTTGTTTATCCATGTAGCTGTTGATGGACACTTGGTTTGTTTCTACCTTTGGTTTTTGTTTTGTTTTGCTTTTTCTAAGCAAGCTCTCTGCCCAACATGGGGCTTTGAACTCATGACCCTGACATCAAGAGTCACGTGCTCTACCAACTGAGCCAGCCAGGTGCTCCCTACCTTTCAAATATTGTGAATAATATACTATGAACATGAATGTACAAATGTCTGTTCAAGTCTTTGCTTTTGGTTCCGTTGGTTATTTACCTGGACGTGGAATTGCTGGGTCATATGGTAATTCTGTTTTACATTTTTGAAGGCACCTCCCTGTTTTCCGTAGTGACTGCACCGTTTCCATTCCCTTCAACAGCGCACAAGGGTTCCAGTCTCTCCACATCCTCGCCAACACTTGCTGTTTTCTGGGTTTTTTTGATAGTAGCCATTCTAATGGGGTGCAAGGTGGTACCTCACTGTGGCTTGACTTGCGTTTCCCTAACGATCAGTGGTGCTGCACCATGAGTATGTTTTCACATCAGTGTGTCATCTGTCTTGTTGTGTGAGCTGTGCACCATCTGTTTTTGTCACCGTCTGGTTCTGCACAGTATGAGCAGACCGGGACATACCCGCTTATTCTACTGCCGATGGGCATTATTAGGTGGTTTTCCATTTGGAGAGATTGCAGAGTGCCGCTAAGAATATTCTAGGGTGCCTCTTTTTGGGGACATTGTCCTGGGTTTTTTAAATGTAAGCCACTCCTGTTTGGAGGTTAGTGTTGCATAAATAAACCGATAAAATGCATAATGCCTATTCCCTGAGGGTCCTTTAAAGGTTCCTCAGGCTTAGACAAATTCCGTAGCACAGGACAAGCCCCCTGCCTGCTGTGCCCTCCTGCTCCCTGTCCCAGGTGGCCCAGGGTCCAGCTGCCTGGTGTGTGCCCTCCCAGATTCTGATTTGCTCCCTCAGGAAAAGAGCCACTTTGGGCCCTGACAGCGCCCCCTGCCGCCCATCGTCCCAAGCGCCTGTCCCCCACTGCTGAGCTGGATCGCTGAGGGCCTGACCAGCTCCTCTCTGTGCTCAGGGATCTTTGGGCAGCGCCTGGAGGACACAGTCCACCACGAGCGGAAGTATGGCCCCCGCCTGGCCCCCCTGCTGGTGGAGCAGTGTGTGGACTTCATCCGGGAACGTGGGCTCACCGAGGAGGGGCTCTTCCGCATGCCCGGCCAGGCCAACCTGGTGAGGGACCTGCAGGATTCCTTCGACTGTGGGGAGAAGCCACTGTTTGACAGGTGAGCTCCTGGGGGAGAGCGGCAGAGGTGGGATCACCTGTCTGTTCCCCAGGACGCAAGCTCCAGGGGCCAGAGGTGGGCTGGCATCCAGGAAGCGTGGCAGCGGGGTGGTGGGTGGCACGGCTCCCCACAGTGGTGCATGGGCTCAGTTCGTGCCCCCCTGCTACCCCTGTGGGCAGAGCACCAGGCACAAAATCACTGCAGCAGCCCTGGGCCGCCTCTCCGGGCTGGGGCCTGCCACAGACGAGGCACACTCGTGTCTACGCAGGCTCTTTCCATGGTGGATGGCTGTAAACCCAAGCCAGACAGGGGAAAAGAAGGGCCTCTGCTTGTTCCATTTGGGACTCCAGGCCTCCTGCAGGGCCTCCCTCTGGGCTCTCCTTCCTTGGGGTGATCCATGCCCAGGCCCCTTCAGTGGCAAGATGGGGCAGCAGCCCCCCCATTTTCTCAGGCAACGGGGCTGGGGAGTCAGTGCCCATCCCAGCCCATCACTGGGGCTTCCCGGGTCCAGGGCCGCACTGTGTGGGTAGAGTCCACTTCACTGAAGAGCCCAAGGGCCGTGACCCGGGAGGTGGGGCGACCTGGGTCCTCTTCTCCCTGATGGCACCCCACTCATTCTAGAGCAGTTTTCATAGGAAGTTCTTCCTGCATCAAGCCAACCTTGGCCTCCGTGGAACTGCCCTTCTCAGATCTGCCCTCATAGTCAAGGCCCTCTTCTGCCCCCAGGATAAACCCATGGGTCTCTGCTGGCAGCCCTGGCCTTCCCAGCTCTTCTCTCGGGGCAGAGCACCCCCGTGCCTCCAGCTTCTGCCAAGACCCATCACTGCAGCTAGGAGAGTCTGTCGATAGATGTGGAGCCTGGGACTGACCCCATTCCCAGGGGAGGTCTGCCCTTAGGAAAGAAGAGAGATCGAGGAGTGGAAGCGTTTTCTTGCAGGAGGAGAAACTAAGCCTCTCGGGTTAGCCACCTCTTTCCAAGTCCCACAGTAAGGGAGGAAGCTGACTTAGACCCCTGGGCTGCCCTGTCTGTGTACCCAGTCCCCTTCCACCACATGCTGTGAGCCTGGTCCTGGGGGGAGGGAGCGGGACAGGTGATGGCACCTGCCCTAGAGGGGCTCCCAGGCTGGGGGGCCTCCACGGAGCTGTGGGCCACAGAACATTCTCCTTGGGTGCTGGGGTAGGGTGTCTGGGTTCAGCGTAGGTGTGTGCAGGAGGGGAGGGTGGGTGAGGGGGTTGCAAGAAGTACCAAGAAAAAAACCTTAAGCCACTGTTCAAAGGGAGAGGCTCTGCAGTGAGTAGGGAAGGAGGGGAGAGGGTGAGGAAGTGTGTTTCTAGAGGAAAGAAGGTGAGGCAGTCAGAGTGCTGGGCCAGGTTCCCTAAACCAGAGTGGGGCAGAGGATCGGGACATGGCTGGCTGCAGGGACCTGTGGGGCAGGGGGCTGTGAACTGGAGCTGCTGGGACTGGCTAGGGGCCAGGCCTCCCAGGCCCAGAAGCACTGAAAGCTGAGGGTATGCAGGAGGAGCCAGGGTGGGGCTCCAGAAGGGAGCAGAAGGGTGGAAGGGCTGCTCTGAGTCCACTTGCCCAGGACAGAAAAGCTTTCACCTCCCCCACCAAGGGGAGACATATCAGTAGGGCCTTGGCCACACATCTGTGCTTTCACTGTCCACGTCTTCCCTGGGGGCAAGCCTGCAGATCCTCCTAGCTTCCTGCCCCTCCACTCAGCCTCCTGCGGCTCTAGTTCCTGCAGTGGCCAGCACTGAACCCCCGGGGCTCCAGCGGGGGAGGGGCCACTGGGCTCAAGCCTGGGTGCCCCCAGGGGCTGTGAGCACCCAGGAAGTGGGCAGTGTTGGCAAAGGTGGGGAGGGGGCCTGGGGGAAGGCAGTGGAGGGCACGGGCAGCAGCATGCCTGGCTGGAGAAGGTAAGTGGAAGCAGAGACGGGGGCTGCATGGCCAGGCCAGACTCAGAACCACCAGGCCTGAGGGAGGGACGGGCCCTAGGTCTGTGGGTCTGAACTATATATGGGTATATAGATCCCTAGAATCCCAAATGCCATAGCCAGAAGGGACCTTAGGGCTTAACTCAGACCAGCCATTGACAGCCAGGGCCAGGTGGCACGTTAATGGCATAGCCACATTCTCCTGGCCCCAGGCTCATCTTTCCTGAGTGCCTGCCATGAGGGAGATGCAGGCTCAGGGTTTAAATCCAGGGCCCTAGAAAAGCAGATGAAATACCTAGGGCCCAGGCCCATCCAGGAAAGCAAGCTTAGAGGAGGTGCCAAGATAGTAGTCCAGGACCTGAACTCGGAGGCCAATAGGCCCAGGGTTGCTGCCCTCCCCTGGGCAAACCACCTTGGGCAGCTCCAAGCTGGGGCACAGGAGACTGAGGCCTCCAAGAGCACGCACAGGACACTGGGGCGCTGGAAATAGCGTGATGAACAGAGAAGCCCAGGCATGTGTAATGTGAATAGGAACCCAGAGGCTGAGGGAGAGGGCCTGACCTCTGACCTGCCCGGCCCCCTAGTGGCCAGTGCCCAGGGGTGCCTGCTCTTGCCAGGAGCTCAGCAGGCCAGCATGGCAGGTGCATTTAACACGGTCCCTCCTTCTGTTGGTGGGCCAGTCGGGGAGTGGGGGGAGCAAGCTCAGGCTCACATCATGTCTCACGTGGACATGAGAGTGGAGGCTGCCCCTGGGGGAGTGGCACAAGGTGCTGGCCACTCCTGGGCTCCCTGGTGTCCCAGGCCTCATGCATGTCCCCCTGCCCACAGCACAACAGATGTGCACACGGTGGCCTCTCTGTTGAAGCTCTACCTGCGGGAGCTCCCCGAGCCCGTGGTCCCCTTCGCCAGGTACGAGGACTTCCTCAGCTGTGCCCAGCTGCTCACCAAGGACGAGGGGGAGGTTAGTGGCTCCTCGGGACCCATCCTGGGAGGCGGGCCTGCTGGGAGGTGGGTGTCTGGAGCAGGGCACAGACAGACATTTAGTGACTTTCGTGGCCCACAGTTCCTGGCCTACAGCCTGCTGTGTGAAGGGCCCGGAGCATCCTGCTCTATGTATGTCGGTGAGGGGGTGGCTGGAGCACTCTGCTGTGTGTGTGGGAGGGTACCTGGAGCGTCCCCTGTCTGTGTAGGGTCCTTTCTTGTGTGCAGGCCTCGTTCTCCGGGAGCGGCAGTTACCTCCTAAAGCAGGCTGAGTTCCAGTTGTGGTTCTGAGTGCCTGGGGCCCAGGTGCGGGCCCCAACACAGTAGGGACTCCTGCTGTACTACCCGGCTCAACCTCAGGCTACCCAGGCCAGCTACAGGGTTCAGAAACCACCAGACCTTTCATTTATTTATATCCTGCCTCCTCCCAAAAGAATCTGAGGCTGCTTCCAGGACAGAGGGCTCCCACGCCCACCCTTGCCCTCTCCTGCAGGTGCCTGCCTGCAGCCCTAGCCGGCTTTGGCTGGGGAAGGACCATCTGTCGGCCTTCTGGCCCTGTGGGAGACGAGGGGTCTTTACCTGGCAAATATTTGTGCCTCCCGAAGTGTGCTGAGCCGTGGCCTTGACACTCCTCCTTTGCCCTGCAGAGGCATACCCTTCACGTCAGTTCCCCAGAAGTAAATCTGCTTCCCCAAGGCTGGCCTCCCCGCTCCTCAGAGGGAGATGGAGGTGGGGGCACCTTCTGGCCACCTGGGGACTGGTTGCATGGGCCTTGGCTGGAGGCCTGGACTCAGATTCTTGCCCCCACTCCCAGCCCTCCCGCCAGCCTGGAGTCTCATTGCTGGCCTTTGAAATGCTGTTTTTCTCTTTCAATCCCAAGGGGACTCTGGAGTTGGCTAAACAAGTGAGCAGCCTTCCCCTGGCCAATTACAACCTGCTCAGATATATCTGCAAGTAAGTGACTAGGGGCAGGGAGCTCCCCTTCCCTGCGCTCTGGCCCTGCGCCCTTCACAGAGGGGGCCTTGGTCATTGTCCCGCCCCATCTCCCCGCCATGTGCTGATGGAGCCAATGAGGGGCATAAAAGAACACAGCCCCTGCGCTCATGGAGCTCACGGTCCCCGTGGGAGCAGGCAGTGTTGAACAGTCCCCAGGGTAGCATTTCTGAAGAGAAGGGACACACCCTGTGTCCCTTCAGCCTTGTCTGGGTGCCTCCCGCCGTCCCCTCCCCCAGGGGTCTGCCTCCCGAGCATACCGGCCTCGACCCAGGTGCTGGGAGAGGGCATGCAGTGCGCCTGAGGGGTCTGGGCCTTCGCGGGCCTCTGTCCCCACTGCAGGCGGGAGAGTCGTGTCCTGCTTCCACACTGACAGTGGGCCCTTGTCCCGCCGGCCTCTGCTTCTGATGGCCGTCTGCTGCCCCTCTGAGGGGGAGGCTCTGCCCTCTTCTGAGTTTGCCAGGGGCAGCTGGCTACGCCCAGCAGCCGTGGACACGCGTGGACATGGCTGGGCATGGAGGCCAGGCAGCTCCCAGCAGATCTAGCATCTGCTTCTTCCTTACTGTACAGGTTTCTGGATGAAGTCCAGTCCCACTCGAATGTCAACAAGATGAGTGTCCAGAACCTGGCAACTGTTTTTGGACCCAACATACTTCGGCCACAGATAGAAGACCCGGTAACCATCATGGAAGGTAACAGTGGAGGTGTGTGTAGCGGTGCTGGGTGCTGCCCAGGGCTGGCCCGTCCTTGGTCGCAGGCGTGTCCTCAGGAGCATTACCCTGCATCAGTCCAGCCCAGGGCCAGGCTGGTGGGAGGGGGCTCCGTTCCAGGGGGCCCTCTCCTCCCCCTCCCCGACCCCATGGGGTCCAGCTATAAAAGGAAAAGGAACTTTGCCCTGTGGATGGGGTCACTGGGAGCATTAGAATGGTGGGAGAGGCTGGGGGATGGACAAGGTCAGTGCCCGTGCCCTTGAACATACACTGATGTTTTTGCTTTCCTTAAGTAAATGTTATTAAGTAGTTGTCACAGGCTCCTGGATGTCAGAGCCGTACCCTGGGGAGTAAATAATGACAAAAAATAGCAATAGCAGCTGTTTGCAATATGTGAGGGCCTCTAGGAGTGCCTTCCTGTATCACCTCATTGTCAGCTTCACGAGCTCGTGACGTGGTTATTGCACCCCTTTCACAGATGGGAAAACTGAGGACAGGAGAGGCGAGGTGACTGTCAGCCAGGTTCGCCAAAGGGCACAGGTACAGGCTGTCCCGGAACCTAGAGCCCGTGCTCGGAGGCCCCGTGGAAGACTGTCCCGGAGCGGTTAACGTGGGAGCCCTGCTGCCCACGGACGGGAGCCCCACAGCCGGTTCTGGCTGAGGTGTGCAGAGGCAGGCCAGGACTCACGCAGCACAAAGCCAGCTGGAGCTGCTGCCCCTGGCACCAGGCAAGCTGAGGCCGGAGTCGCCATTCCGTGCTGAGCATGACCTGGGAGAGATGGGAAGGTGGGGGTGGGCTGTGGAGCTCTGTGTCCCCCCAAGTCTAGGGTGTGGCTCTTGGGGTGGCACTCTCCCTCAGATCTCCCCCTCGGCCTGCCTAGCTCGGTCTCATCCCAGGCCCCCCAGGTTCTCGGCCTGCCAGGTGGAACAAATGCCCAACAGCAAACACTGAGTTCCTGCTTCACCCAGTTTTCTGGCTAAGGATTCATTATTTTTTTCCAGGATTCTTAGTTACCTCTAGTGGGAGGGTCCAGCCAGCCACCCCTCCTTATTACCTGGAAACCTTCTCAGTCTCTGGTCTTTGGTGGAGGGTAACAGGAGGGAACGAGGCAAGCAGATAGGTACCATGGTCCCATTGTACTGCCCCCCCCTTTCATTGCTGACCCCCAACCCCCAGTGGCAGGAACTACAAGCACCACAGGCTGCATCTCAGGGGCCGTGGCCTGGAGAAGAGGTATTTGTGTGTGTGTGTGTGTGTGTGTGTGTGTGTGTGTGTG